TAACTACAGAAGTGTTCTGTGCCTGGGTGCCTCGCCTCTGTTGTAGAACCCATAGTTCAAATTTAGGTGTTTAGACTTCTTGAATAAAGTATGGGATGAGTTATGTACCTGATTACGGTAGTTACAAAGACAGTATCTGCAGTGGGAATAGCCTAGATCAGGCAACCAAAAAACAAACGGACAAATGCGTATTGGAATCTTAAACACTATAGCTTGGTAGGTCAAGCTCTGTCTTGCAAAGATGGGTGTGGAAATCCTTTCTTTAAAAAGCATGTCACAATTTAATCCTTTCTTTCAAGATCATGCTAGTAGCAATGCTGCCTCCTTTTGATCTAAGATGTAGGGTTAGAATACAGGTCTTGGCTGTAGAGTTTCAATTAAATTCCTTTTTCTGTCCGAGTATGTTAAAATGCACATCCCCCACTTCCTTTGGAGTGGTAAGATGATAAACATTTAAGTTAATTGGAAGTATTGCTATCCAGGTCTTTCTGTTCTTATGCGTTCTACCAATTAGAATAAGAAGCTGTGCTCTCTTTAGTATTTTCTGTCAGGCCTACTGAATCTTTAAATATTTCATGCAAAAGGGAAAAGCTTCAACAGGGAGAGATGAAAAGAGCTGCCTGCAGCAAGGTTCCCAAACTCACCAGTATAGCAATAGGTACGTTGCATTATCCTGAGACTGCAACAACAGGACTGCTTTGTGAACCAAATATAAGGAACTTCTGTATCATTGGTTCTATTCATACTGTAGGTTGGAAACTCTAACCAATCTGCCAAGGTGTGGGAAATGTGAATTTGAATCCTGTTAGGTGGAGGCAAAGATTGAATCATGTTCTGCTACTTACAGATGTAAATTTTGTGAAGGCAAACTCTGTCCCTGCGTAGAGCCTGGTTAACAAACTCCCAAGTTGCCCCATGGAAGTAATACAGGCAGAGGAACATCTGGTAAGAGGTTGTGTTTGCACCTTGCCCTTTTAGGATTTACATTTGAGGTGGGCCTGAAGGGGCTTAGCTCTGTCAAGAGAAAAGTACATTGGGCATAACCAGCAAGAGACTTACTAGAGAACTGCGCTCACAAAAATATCTTTGTGATTTGCAGGTGTAGTTATAATTTGTAGTGAGGCTTAAAGACCAATTTTCATTACTTGAAAAAATAGGGAATCCTCAAGGTCTGAAATAAGAGCAATAAGCTTCAAGCAAAGTACAGGTTCAACATAATTGCTTTGACTTTAATTATGTTACCTTTATTAAGCTATTTAAGAAAAGCTTGATTGGTACTTATTCAGCAGAGTATGACATAACTAAGGTCAGTGGTATTAAAAGTATCTTTACTTGTTTATTTCTAGATTAGAAATTTCAACAGTATTTTTCAAGTTTGATTGAAAAATTGACCTGATTCTAGTCAGGTCCTAGAAATAGGATTAAGCATCAGTGGCTAGTATCACATGAACTTGGAAAATATTTTGCCTTTCTGGGATAGTCACCGATTTAAAAAGTGAAGTCTAAGAAATGGATGAGAAGCCAGTAAGACTTGCCTGCTCCTTCAGAGGCAAAAGGAAGTTTTCTTTGAAATGATATAGAAGAGGAGCTATGTTAACTGAAAAAGTACTTTATTTATGATGACAACTAATAAAGGGTATCGTTCCATTATTGTGAAAATGATAAATTTTTTTGGAAAGCACAGAAAAGAACCCATTTTGCATACATCTTGCATGTTGGAAAGGAGTGGGCGTCAAAAGCATAAAATAATTTTCTATGGCGTATTTTCCAGTTATCTTGCACATAATGAAGTTTGTTCTCAGCTGAGCAGTTCAGAGAACAGTGATTGTAATTCATAAACTCAGTGCTAACCCTTCCCCTCGCCCTACCTCTTCACTTTTCCTGGGAAACTGAATTCAAGGCAGTTGCTGACCATTTATGTCCTTACTTAACAGACTGATGGATACTAATAAATACTGTTTGTCACTGGTATTAAATTTTATTTCATATCATGTTTCTGAATCGTATAATAGATTTCGGTTCTTTGACCCAAAAGTTGCACGGGGGCTTTTCCAGCTTTGGGGGAGATAATTTCTGTGGGTCTGAGACACAGTTTTTGCCTATGTAACCTGAAATGAGATTTCGCAGCAGATCAAATGGTAAAAATGGGGGAGTTTAGTTGTGGTGATTTAGTCCATTGATGTTTATAAATAACCCAAGTTTGAGTCTGAGACAACACTGAATAGAGGAAGTAATTTCATTTAGTAGATGATGTGGTTGTTCAGAAGAAGCTCTTTTCTCGCCTGGGAGAAAGGAAATGCTGAAGTGGCAGTATGTGGAGAGGCAGGTGGAAGCATGTGGGAATTTGTTTGTTAGCTGGAGGAGCAACACACAGCTGGGCTGTGGGTAAGTAGGGCTTCTCAGATACAAATGGAATTAACTCATGTGTGGAATTGTAAAGTTGTATCTAGTGAGGTTATTGTTTAAGTTTAACAAAATTTAAGGATATTCTGTCACTACTGCTGTTGTAGTCCTACTGGCTTTATTGGTGTTGTATAGGTACAGATGAGGCAAACCTTTTCATGAGTGCAGTAGGTTTTCTCTTACAGCTTGGTCAACATACATTAATTGAACAGATGTAGTAGTTTTGATTGCCTACCTGCACGCTGGCATGTTTGTGGTAGTGGCTCAGTTTTAAGGCTTGGAGGTTGTCTGACATTTTCACTTTGACTGTGGTTTGGACAAATGACCGTAAATGAAAATTGAAATCTTTAATTAAAAAAAAAAAAAAGTGAATACTAAAAACACTTTCAAAATCCCTTGAGATACTTTTTTCTTATACTGCTAAATGCTGACTTGAAAATAAATCTGATCATCCACCAATACATAAACACAATGTACCTCTTAGAACAGAGTAATTAATTATCCCCTCACCTAACATACCTGTGCTATGTTATCACACAGATTCTATAACCTAAAGTGTAGTCTTAGATTAACAGAATTAGTAACTGCCAAGTATTGCGTTGCTGAAATAGAAGAAAAGACAATTACAGCATCTTAAATCAATCATGAGGCTACGCAGTTAAGCTGATTTCAGTTTATGCTGGTATCATAAAGGATGGTTTCATTTCCTTCTCCACCAGCTCCTTGACTGCACGTTCCCACCCCTACTTTGCACCAGGATCAGCATTGGTGTAGTCACGTCGTCAACTGGATCAGAGATCTGGCTGGAAAGATGTTTTGTTTGGTTTTGATGGGGCTGATTTTCAGCCAGGTGAAGTTTAGATCTAGTTGTCAGTGCCAGCCACCTGAGGAAGGACAGAGAGCTGGACTGTTCCTTTTAGTGGCAGCGTGGACTTAGGTGAGCTGATTGTGAAACAGCACCTTTAGTTTTGAAAAGCTCTTCTTAGGCCAGAACACAAAAGGAGTGAAAGTACTCAGTCTAAATTACTGGCCTTTTTAAAGAAAATGGGATTGGACTGCCTTTATGCATTCTATACAACCAAACTAACAGTTAACGTTTGTAAAACAGGTTAAAGGTAGGTAACTGTGCTGCAAATACTATCTTCTATTGTCTTTTCATAGAATCACAGGATGGTTGAGGTTGGAAGAGACCTCTGGAGGTCAGCTGGTCCAACCCCCCTGCTCAAGCAGGGCCACCTAGAGCTGGATACCCAGAACCATTTCCAGGCAGCTTTTTAATATCTCCAAGGAATTTTACATAAAAATTGTGATAAATATAATCTTGGAGTAATATTTAAACCCAAATCTTTTTACATCTCCTTTTTACACAAATATTTGAGTGAAATGAAGTACTGGGATTTATGTCAAACATATTAATTTGGCACCATCTTTACATTATAGACCTTAACTGTGTCTCCTGCATCAAGCCTGATAATAGATTATAACTAATACTAACTAACTAGTACTTTAGTCCTAGTGAATACTGGAAGTAGCTGTATTGCAGACACTGATTTTTGTAATATAAAGGTAGATCCCAGGGATCAGTCCATTTGACTTGTTCACATTCAGACTAAATTGTAAGCATGTCTGCCACTCTTAAGGGAGTAGAGATGTATCACTTGGTGCATATCTCATCCCTGGTAATCAGATCTTTGTTCAGTGTGTTATTACTTCTTCATTATTGTCTTAATACTTCTGTCTTGCAGAGAAAACAACAAATGTTTATCTAAATATGAAGCGAAGACTTTTTTCTAGGCAAACTGTTCTTCTCTTATATTATCCCACTATATTAACCCACTGTATTCACAGTCATTGAGACAGGATTTATTGTCTTGCACAACCAGAAATTAGTTTGATCAATGATCAAAGATCACTTGATTGACTTCACATTCCTCTTTGTAAGGTGGTAATTTCTGTTCTGTACTAAAATCCTCATGCATAAAATTGTATGATGTGACCCTTCTCCCCAGTCAGCATATATCCAGTTTTCTATAGTTGTAGTTCTTCCTGACATGCCGAAGTTTCTTCTGTAAGTCAACTGGGAAATCTGTGTTACGTGTAGTGTTAGTACTGAAGACCTTGGGAGCCTTCATGGCTGATTACATTTTATTAGACGGTATGTAAATTCTGATAGTCATGTGTCCCTCTGCTTTGTCAAGATAGTAATTCTAGTCTAGGACTTGTTATGCAGAATTCTTCTATAGGGTAGGCATGCATTTGGAAAAAAAAATATTTTAAGCTCTGAGCTTACTGACAAATGCCTACTGACAGTTTCCCATTTGAAATAGTGACTCACTCAAGTTCGTGGAAGTGAGAGAGTCACCTGAGTAAGAGGTTTCTAGTGTTAAGCAACCTCTACCAGGCATAGAAGGAGAGACTTGAAATTTCTGTAGTATAATCCAGTTCCACCTCAATTCTGCTTTCAAAAAACAGTGTTGGTCTGTCAGTGTTGCGGTTTCCTCTTGGTTGGTAGTTCAGGAGGACTGACGTGGCTCATACTGTTCTCTTTATTTCTCCAGTGGAGGGAATCCTCTGATTTTATTTATTTATTCTTTTAGCATATGCAGATGACTATCCAGGCTCTCCAAGATGAGCTTCGGATCCAGCGGGACCTGAACCAGCTGTTCCAGCAAGACAGCAGCACTAGAACCAGTGAGCCCTTTGTGGCAGAGCTGACAGAGGAAAACTTCCAACGACTTCATGCAGAGCACGAACGCCAGGCCAAGGAACTCTTCCTGCTACGTAAAACCTTAGAAGAGATGGAACTGCGTATTGAGACGCAGAAACAGACCTTAAATGCACGTGATGAGTCCATCAAAAAGCTGCTGGAGATGCTGCAGAGTAAAGGTCTGTCAGCAAAAGCCACTGAGGAGGATCATGAGCGAACAAGACGGTTGGCTGAGGCAGAGATGCATGTGCACCACTTGGAGAGCCTTCTCGAACAGAAGGAAAAAGAAAACAACATGCTGAGAGAGGTAAGTGACCAAGTTCTGGGTTCATCTCCAGTCTTAAGCTCTTCTCTGTCTCCTCTCCATTTCACAGCTCTAAGGAAAGAATCTTCTGTCCTCTCTATAAGCTGTTTTTTGCATTGCAGACTTGACAGAATTTGTCCCTGTTTAAAACTTCTTATGGCTTCCTTGCGTGTGCTTTCTGGGGTTTTGTGCTTTAGGCCCCACTTTCCCCGTAGTCTCCATATGAAGCTCTGGAGGTGAATTGTCACACAGACTCTCAAATTCATTCTTCCGTTCTATTTCAGTTTGAGAGAAAGTAGCTACCTGTATTTAGGAGAGAGCTGAGAGAAATCTTTGCAGGAGTAATGGATGATTGCTCTACGGTTTCCATGGAAACAGTCGTCTTGCTGTGAAGGGTATTTGATAAAACTATTAGCTGCCCTGGATGCACAGCCAAAAAAAAGATTACTTAAAGGGACACTGCCGCACACATAGTAACCCCTTCCACCCATCCCTCTGAAAACAGAAAAGAAAAACCATTGTTATATCTGTATTGCACCTTAGAGGAGTGCAATGGCAGGCATTCTTCACTATTAATCATCCTAAACTAATTATAATAAAATATAGGCTACATATAAGTATCTTAGAAAAATAAAGGAAAATGAGTTGTGTAGCCAGTGTAATTAAATTTCTTGACATTGTTAAATGCATGTTCCTCTTGTGAACCAGCCTCCTAAAGTATTCTAATATTAACTTCTAAAAGTCTAGTAATTCAGCGTGTGTTGTGTACATACACAGGTACGTATGTATATGCATGTATTCACTAATGATAAGATTTTCTTAAAGATTATTTTACATACATCTGTAGATTGAAGCATGAATTGATAGCTATACATGTATGTGTCGTGTGTGTGAATCTAATGACCTGTTTTGGGCATTGCATGTCTACTTTGTGGTTCAGCATTTTTTTGAAAGCCTGACGCATACACAAGTTTTAAGCCCCCTCTCTAAGATGCCAGGGAAGCAAGGTCTGGCACAGAGGTTTTTGAGATGAGTTTTTGCAGCAAATAAATACTTCTTAATACCTCTTATTCATATGTTTTCCATGGCCTGACCCATGGTGCTTGTGCTCTTGCAAGCATTTATATAAGAAAGCGAGAGCCCATTGCATTTCTGAGCCAGATTTAGGCCAGATTTGTTTTTTTAGAGCAGTAATCTCTTGAGTGTCTGGAGTGAAGATAATATGATTCCAGAGTTTCTACACTACAGTTTTTCCTTTATTTAGCAACCAATGATAATTCTGTTCCAATTCTTGTATCTATTTCAGGAAGAGCCCCAAATGGCTTCCATTTGTTTCTGCTTTAAGTACAGCAACGTAAATGAAAAGCTGGCAGGAGCTGTGTAATTTTTTAGGAATGCGGTTACTTTTGTTTCTGCTACTGATGAGTAGATGTTGAGAGATAAGAATTCTTGCTTCATTCACACATATCTGGAAATCATCAACCATTTACATCCTAGCCTTTATGGTAAAAGATTTCCTGGAGAAGGTAGAGATTGAGTTACTGACTTTGAAAGTGCAAATGCTGTTTATCTAACATTTTAAAATTAATTACTTTTTGCTGCTCACCCAGCTCTAATGCATTGAGAAGGTTAAGCTGGGTATACTGTAATTTGTAGCTCAAGCCATTTATGTGGTGTGGGATCCAGCATTGAAGCTGAGCACCCTGGTAGCCTTGGAAACATGGTGCCGTGTGCAGAGATGGCAAATTATCTCCTTATGGAGCTGGGTCACATCAGGAAGGGTTTTGTTAGTACCTGTGTGTTGTCCTTGAGCTCTGGGCTAGACTGAGCTAACTGAACTCAGGCTTGTCTGCATGAAGCTCAGGTCTCGTGCTTGGGGCTCCAGGAGGCTGGAGAAAATCAGGGTATGTTGCTGAACTGTAGCTGACTGCATCTGACTTCCTGAGCACCAAGTTGCTCTGCTCTGCAGGATCTGGTTCAGAGTTGCTGTCACTGTTCCACACTTGGAAGCTGTCTCTGTGCAGAACCTCTTAGGTGTGTCTGCGTCACCCTCTTCAGCTAATCTATTGTGTGTTTATCTGTATATCCATAGTTTTAGGTTATTTTAACCCTTTGCTACCCCAGATACTAACTATAGAATTTTTGAGCTGCCTTGAAGAAATCAATCTACTTTCTCGATGGTTCTATATCTAGCATTCCCAGTATCTGGAAAGGCACGCTAAACTCTTCTTTAAATACTGCTGTTAAAGGAAGCATTAGTATCTCAAAGGGATTTGCATGTACTTGGGAGCTCAGCATTTACACTTCATGTTCTAACACGCTAGGAAAGCTGAGAAAAACTTTAATAGCAGTTTTGACCATCTTAGCTAAAGCGAGTTCTGAGATGTCAGAATCTGCTAGTATCTGGTATCCCTCCATTTTTCAACTTTGAAACCTACATGTAATTTGAAGCGTGATGTTGAGACTCAAGGTCATCAGATGGTTTCTTAGACAATGCTGGTGCAGTGGCCAGCAGTCTGACCTTGAAAATGTGAATTCATCGATTTATTCAGCTATTGCTATTACTGTGATTGTACTACAGATTGCACTAATTTCCTAAGGAAAGGAGATTCTTAGAGAGCCTAGACTTGTGGTTCTGATAAGATCATAACCAAGGAATAGCTGTACTGCTTCAGGCCAACGATACCTTTAGTCCAGCATTCTGTCTTGCATAATGGCCATATGCAGACACCCAGGAAAGGGTAAGAACAAGGCAAACATGATACTTCTCTGTAATGCTGTCCCATCTTCCCAACTATTTACAGATGAGGGTTTTCTTGAACTTTTTGGGACTTGTCAGTTTAGTATCCTCCATGGATCTGCCATCTGAATACATGGTCAGTGTCGTCTTCAGCCCGTGTAAACTTTTGCAGCTGTAGCATCATTTGGTAAGTGGTTCTACAGGCCTATTCTCAGTCGCAGGAAGTACCTGCCTCATTTCCTTTGAGAAATGGTCAGGTCTGAACCTGTCTCCCAGTAGCTTCATTGACAGCCTCTTGCTCTTGCACTGGAAGACACAGTGAACGGGTGATCATTACCGAGACTCTGTTCCACTCCCAATTTTAGATTTGTCACATCCCTTCCAAGTTCTCTCTTTTTCCGGGCTGAAAAGTCCAATGCTACTTAATTGTTCCTCATATAGAAGATATTGCATATCTTTGATCATCTCCCAGAGCACTGTGTCAGTCTCCTATATCCAGGTTATGAAATGGATTCTCCTGCAGATAGTGAGAGGTATCTCCATAAGCAATTTGACTCTCTTGGGCTTTTCCCAAATGTCCTGAATTCGGGGAACTCGGGCAATCTTTCCATACAAGTCCATAGGAAAGATCCTGTGTCCAGCATAGGATGTATTTGGCAACTCACTGACACAGAGGACAGTCTCTCATTAATACAAAATAATGAAAAATTAAATGTCTCATTGAACATCTGAACACAGACATGGATCTGGATGCCCTGACTTCAGCAGATGACAGTGTGGCTGCATCACATTCCTTTGCCCTAGAAAACAAGCTTAAGCTTCATAGCTTATAAAAAGAGGGCTGCTATTTTGAATACCCATTCTTAAGTCTAAGTGAAAATTATTTATATTATTGTTGGTATTCTAGACTTAACTTTCAGAAACAAAATTATTTTCATACCAGCAAGAAATACTTGATGAAATCCAGCAGCTGGAATGCAGCTTCCAGAATAGCTCCCAAGTTACAATAACTGCCACCTCATTGTTCCAGACTCACCTGTTGCAGAATTATCAGTGATGGCAGTGACAGTACATAGCTCTAAAGATATTGAAGCTTGCTGTGCTCTTTTTGACAACCTCCCTGCTCCCCCCCACCCAAAATGCTAGATGCACTGAGTAGAAATATGTTTTTCTCAGCTACACAGAGTAGTAAATACACCAAATATCAGTGCAACTTATGGCAGAATATGATGTGATTGTATCCACGTATGGTGTTCTAGACACTTAGAGTACCTTGGGCAAACTATGATTCCTAAGGACGGTCCAACATCATTACACCAATTTGATTAAACCTTTCTCTTTTGAATTGTTCATTACTCTCTGTCTTTAGGAATATCTATCTGAAGAAAGAACTGAAACCATACACTTCTAGTGTCACAGTCAACAAAGAGGTATCTTCTTGAGAGTTTTTGGAGAAAAAAGTTTAGGCCAAATTTCTCATCTGCCTAGAAGAAAGGATGAAAACAAAACTATCTGTATTGGTTCTACCCAGGGGGAACAAAAAGAAGCTGCTTATTTTGTGTTATTGTCAGATATTTGCCAAACGACTTTGGCAATGTTGTCCCATTTTCTTACTGCCTTGCAAGGGAGATCAGCACGGACTTCACAACAATAGTTAATCTGATGTCCTGTTTGTCTCTGGGTTGCTACTGGACATACATACTCTGCAAGCCAAATACATCTTTGTTCACAGCAGTGCTATGGCATATACTAATTGGAGTCTCCAGGATATACTGACATATCACTGCATTTCTCCTGCTCAGGTAGAGATATCCTTTGATGTCTCAAATCGTAAGAACTAAGGAGGATGTATGAGGGGAAGTTCCCAAATGTATTCTCTTCCTTTCATTGGCCAGTGTGCTTATTGGTATCTACCCGATACACCTATGAAGCCATCAATCCCATCATGCCTTGTATAACATATATTCAGAGTCCTGATAATATACATGGCCCTAACCATTGGCTTTTCCTGAAAAGATGCAGTAGAAGTCAGGCACCGTGCTAGTTCTTCTTCCTTCATAACAGTTTTACCACATATTTATAATGAAGGATATGCAAGTCCTGCAAGTGACTTGTGACGGGCTGTATGTGGCTGTTGTCAGTACCTTCAGCAAGAGGTCAAAAACAAGTCTCCCTTTAAGTTAAACTGTGATCTTGTGGCTATAGCATTCTCCTGGGAAAAGGGAGTGGTTGGCTCAAACTTTGAGGCTAAGCAGGTATTGAA